AAACATCAAAGAACAGATTTAATTTCACCTTCTTGTGCCTCCAACATCAGTCACTCAAATTCACTCCCTCAGATTTGAGTCATTTTCTTTTAAACTTGTGTCAGTGGTGCTTCAGTTGGTCAGGATTGAACCTGTTCTGTAGTGAGCGGAGCGTTAGCTAAACTAATGCTAATCAGCTCCTCTGTCCTAGTTTAGCAGCATGTTTAACATTTAACAGATGTTGTTAGATATATGTATTGACTTTTTTTGAATGATGTGCTGCATTCACTTATTTGGTGATGAGATAATTAAACGATGGTTAACTATAACCAATAGCTATAACCAATATCTTAATAACATCGTCATCTTTTTTACCTATGTGGACAAATTGATTAAAAAGGACAGTAATGTAGAATAAAAAGGAAGCTAATATAATGAAAACGAAAGTCTTAACAGTAGCATAAGTGCCCATTCAGATCCTAATGCAGTCTTTCCAACCATAGCAACTTAAGAAGACTAGGATCTTTTAATACTGCCTTATATATCAGAACTTACTAGGCTACTCTCCTCACGACCCAGTTAAAGTGAACAGAGCTGAATGTCTGACACTGGGAAAATTATTATTGTTACTGATGAAACAGTTGTGGTGTTTAATGCTATAATCCATAAATAAAGATCTTTCCTTTGTCAGATTCCAGTGTAACTAGTTTCAAGGCTTTGACCCATTCATCAAAAGCTGTGACGCTGGACTTTGCTACTTTTATCATTTATTAGAAAAACAGCATTTCCACAGCTAGTTGGATGGGAACCTGGGTAAGGAAACTTGGCCTTGTTTACTGTACCACAGGCACGCCCAGTGCTTCTGCATTACACACTGTCTTATACTGTACACTAATACATCATACTGACAGATAATAACTGCTGAACAGCACCTCGCCTACACACTTATGTAGGGAGAAATGTCCCCGTAATGACTGGACAATGAGAAAATTCAGACATTGTCATTTTTTTTGGTCTTCCTAAATACACATTTTACACAAAATGCAGCTTTCACTTGGGCAAAATATTTCTTTGTAATTACTACATTCAGCCCTCTATTATTGTTATTATTGTCACTGTGCTATGCTATTTAAATGCAATTACGTAATGGCTTACATAGTTACATGATGGATTATGTTTACTTTCTCTATCAGAGTCTGCAGTTCTGATTATTTTTCCTTTTCTTAGGGTAATATCAATGACAAATCAGAAACATTCATCTTTCTGCAACACACAGCAGTAGCTTTTAATCACATTAATATATTTTTTTTTAAATAAATCCCCTGGCCAGTATTCCTTGGCCACACCACCAAACCGCCCCCCCCCCACTCCTTTTATGGAGACATTCATTTTTCTTTTTTTGTTTCACTATTAATGTCATGCCTCATCATTTAATAATGTTCATACAGATGTAAGGTGATGTGGTACCACAACCACCCAACCCCCACCTCCACCTACAGTCACTCCCCCTCCCATCACACAGGTTCCAGTCTGTATGTCCTAGTTTTTTTATTATAATGTCATATAACAAGAAAACATTGTGAAAGTTTTCATTAAATTCAAATCGTGGCATAATTTGTCTAACGATACAAATGCAAATAACAGAAACATGTTATTGACTGAACGTTTAGAATCTGCCCTTTTTGACATAATTTTGCCAGCAGTAAATTTGACTTGTAAGGACTAATAGGTAGAGTTTAGTCCTTAGTAGCAGAAATTACACATTTCCAGCTCAGACTAGAGCTGTACCGCAGTGCAATCAGACCAGGCTGTACCACCATGAAGCTCGGTGGCTACAGAATCAGTGCAGAGTCCTCACAGAGTGCTGAGAGGCTGCCAGGCGCTCTTTACTGGAAAAGTTATGAGCTGACGTCTGACACACAGCAGAGAGAGAGAGAGCAGCGTTGGTGATAGCATAATGAGAACGATGCTTTGATGATGTCATAGAAAATGAAGAAAGACAACCAAGCCGAATCTGCAGTTTTACTTACATTTTCGTCTGAATCAAACCATTAAAAATCGTACAGGTGTTAAATATTGACCGTTAACACTCTGTTAGTAGTTACTTTGCCCCAAAACATTTTGTTTTCCTTGCCTTCCTGACGGACTGTTTAAAAAAAAAAAAACAAGACTGGACATCCATGTGCAGCTCTATCTCATGGTCATCATAGGTCAGAAAAAGTAAAGATGGACAGCTGCTGCAGATGTGATGGTTTACCACAGTCCTCCGCTACACGTCAGTGTTTGTGTCTTTGTCCGTTAACCTTGACCTTTCGCATTTTTGCGAGTGTGTCGTATGGCTGAAACTCCAGCCCAGTATTTTTATGACTGATCTGATACTTGTTAAACTGACAGATTCAACAATACGCTCTTCCAGTAATTCATTTGGCATGATGGAGTCTAAACACCAGAGACACCGTCTCCCCCTCACTCCCCCTCTCTCTCTCCCTCTCTCTCTCTCGCTGTTTCTTTCTCCCTGTCTTTCTCGTTATTTCTGTCTGCCTCTCACTGTGTCTCTCACACTGTTTCTCTAATTCTTCTCTTTCTCTGTCATTCACACTCTTGCTTTCTTTCTCTCTTTTTCTCTTTGACTCTCACTCTCTCTTGCTTTCTCTCTTGTTTTCTTACTCTGTTTCTTCTCTCTTCTGTTTCTCACTAACACACTTTTATTTTCCTTTTTCCTTCTCTGTCTCTTTTTATTTCTCTCTTTTTCTCTGTATCTATGTCTCTATCTCTCTGCTTTCCCCTCTCTCACACTCTCTCACTTAAGGCTGAACAATTAATTATGTTTATATCAATGTGTGTTTAGATCACAACAGCTGGTTTAAATAATATCCTACATAATTTAATGTTGTCATTATAAATGGGGAAATTTCAGCCTTTAACACAGAGGTTGTGCACTGGCAGTGTGGCACACTACTTTCAGCATTCAAGCCTCAAGCCTGAAAAAATGCTGATGTTCTTAGAGATTAAAAAAAGCCAGGAGCTTCATTTATAGGAAATATTTGCTTTTAAATCAGACTTGTAATATTAGTCAGAAAACTAACAATTACATATTTAGATGTATAGAAATCATTCAGCACTACTCTAAATCTTGCTTGCTTTCTGTCTCTCTGTATCTCTTGCTTTCTCTCCCTCTCTCAATCTGTTTCTTTCTCTTTCTCATGCTTTCTTTCTCTCTTTATGTCATTCTCTCTCTCAGTATCTCCTGTCTCTGCCCCTCTCTGCCCCCCATCTCTTTCTGCCAAGTCTTTTGACAAGCACACATACACACACTCACCCTTGATCTTCAGCACTTTGTGTGGGTGTGGGTGTGTGTGCTCAGACCATAAGATAACTCAGTTTCCCAGGATCCTTTCTTCCTGTGTCCACCTGTTCCCATGACAACTAAACCTGCTAGATCAGGGCCAGGTCTGTGCTATCTGAGTGTCCAGCACCCTGTCACATAAGAGCTTTTTTACTGAAGCGTTAAAGCACAGAGTTGAAGTTGACATTGTCCAGGGAGTATCCAGAATGAAGCATGTTGATGGGCTTGTGCTGCACAGAAGAAGAGATAATGCAGTGTGTGTATTAGGGTCACACAGTACAGATAAAATACAAGTACTGTGATAATAATGCTACATACTGCAATTGTAATATGACTTGAAATATATTATGGATACAAATATATCATAAATATATAAACTGTATCAGTTGCTTGAACATATTTGTCCATTCAGAAGCAATTTTCTCAAAACGAGTAACACATAATACTAAAGTGATGCCTGCTAGCCAAATGTGCAAATTTAGCAGAATAGTCTGACCCCCATAAAATACTAAACACGTGCCACAAAAGAAATTTCTCCATGAAACAGTACAGCTTAGAAGGTTAGTAAATTGAGTACATTCCTTCAAGCACTCAGTAAACACAAAATGCAGGTTTCAGTTTAAAACTATTCAGCCTTCATTAGTGCTGCATGTCTATGCTTTTCTCTGGGTAGTTTTTAGATAAATTCCAGTGCAAAACACTGTAACTAAACATAGAAAAATCACCCAAAATGTTCAGAAACAAACATTTTTTAAGTTTTTGTCTTTTTCCCATATTCTTGAAAGACAGGCAAGAGCATACCATACTGAACTGAAATTTCCCATAAAATTCAGACAAAACAACTGTAGGCCAGATCATCAGTCATAGTTTAGAAGAAGGGTCCAACCCACTCAAGCATCCATTTTACGTTTAAAAAATTGTCGATCGGCAAGTCTGCACTTTATATACATCATCATTACAAAATAACAGACTTACCTATTACACATCCCTCTACTGACAAATAATGTGTCCGGCCTCTGGTTTCACATCATTTGGTAAAATTTAGCTTTGTGCTACTCACACATTTTTCACATGTTTACACCCACAGCAACTCTTCTTTGATACTGGGATTGGTTAAAAAAACGCTGATTGGTTAGCAGGTTCATTTACTCAATACAGTCTTCTGTGGTATCAGTATTTCAAAAGCCAATATTGAATGACTGTCTATCTGTTTATCTGTGTGTCTGTCTGTCTGTGTATGTAAGAGCAGGCTGGCTGGCACTCTTCTCATTTCCTCTTCTTATTTCAAACTTTAAACCACACTGTGTGGCAACATGGGTGTGTGTGCAGGTCAGTTTCACACAAGCTAGATAACAATCACATATACAAGAATGAAGTGTGTGTGTGTGTGTGTGGGGGGGGGGTGTTGCTGGGGGGGTGGATTGCAGTGGGAGTCTCTCTTTGGCCTGTGAAATTTGTTCCAGGTGTATTTCCAGAAAAGACACTTAATTTGTTTACATCACAGAATCTTCAGTTATATAACAGTCTGTGTGTGTTTTCTTTAATGTGTGTGGGTGTGTTGTTTTTTAATAAAATAATGTTATTTTGTATTTTTCATGAAGACATTGCTTTTGCAATTTGTATTTGTTAATGGTCTCTCTGTCTGTCTGTCTGTTTCTCTCTCTCCTCCCTACAGGAGAAGCCATATAAGTGCAGTGAGTGTAACAAGGCCTTTAGTCAGAAGCGAGGTTTGGATGAGCACATGCGCACACACACCGGAGAGAAGCCCTTCCAGTGTGACGTTAGTACTGCACCACATTGCACACACACACTCACACAACCTTACCACAGTCCACAGGCTCTTGCAGAAGGAGAAGAGACAGCAGTGGGTTGTGGGTGCTGTATGACGTTGGTCAGGTTGAACCCTCAGACCGCTGAAGTTAGGCTGGCCTTAACTCTGTACAATCCTGGGGCTGGAGCCATGATTGTATTTAACCTTGTACTGGCGTGGGACCGCCCACTAGCACTCCATACTAAAACCTTTGAGCTACACTTTAAGAATGCTGTTCACAACTATATTGTTTATTACTGTTTTACAGAAACCTAGTAACAGACAAACTGGAACTTCAGGATCAATTAATCAGTGTATTGTTTTTGTTGAATGTATTCCACTACTGTGTAATAGTTCCTCCAGTCACCTTTGTGTATTCAGTGTTTAATATAATTATTCATGTGTAGTTATATCATTATTTTTAAATTGAATTCTGAATCATACCAAAACAATCAAGTCCTGGGAAAATCTGAAATTTAATACTGCATGTTTGCGTTTATGGGTACATGTACAGTACTGAGCCAAAATCAGAGACCACCCTTCATTTTTTTATTGTACAGTCAAAACGACCATTACGTACACTTTATTCATTTTTCAGAATTAGAAAAAAAAGCAGAAAACACATATTTAACAGAAAATTATACAGATGCCTCAAAAGCTCAATATATGCCTCCGTCCTTTGCTTTTATTCTTGTTGGGAGACTTGCTTTCAGTCTTTCAAAGGATTTGCAGGGATATTTTTTCTACACCTCCAGACTTCAGGTTTAGAAGTTGGTTTTACAGGTAATCCTGCATTTATTGATGTTGAGGTCTGGACTCTGAGATGGTCATTTCATTGTTCTGAGAACACCAGCAGCTTCTTTGTTAGATTATTAGATTGTTAGATCTTCTTTTTTTGTATTTCTTTTTCTCAGTACGAGCTTCTTGACAGCTACACATCCTTTCAGACTCATAGTGTTGAGTTGTCTTCTCACGGTGGAAGGATGGATAGAAACTCCTGTGGATGTTTTCAGATCTGAAGCACCTTGATTTTTCTCCTCTCTCTCAAAGATAAGGTTTTAAGTATGGTTCATCTGATGGGGACAGTTCTTGAAAAATTAATAACTTCTACTTAATGGCCATTTTGACTGGAAATGACATAAATGAAGGGTAGTCTCTGACTTTATGTTCTCTGGCAGAGTGTGAGAGAGAGAGAATTTGTTTATTTTTGTTTGTGTGTGTGTGTGAGAGAGAGAGAGAGAGAGAGTTGGAGTGGATATGACTACATTGATGGAGTGTTGCTATGCTGTTGGAGCCACAGAGGAAGGATGTCCTGCCAGACGGACACAAGGCCGAAACCGCCCTGCAAAAACTGACCCCTGTCTGACCTCTACACATACATACACACACATCAGCTGGACCTCACACCCGGAGCAGCCCAGTTCCAAACCACACCGTTAAAATAACACAAGGCCCTCTCGTCTCCTCTCTGTCAGTGAGGGGACAGCAGACTGTCTTGCTGAGAATAAGCCAGACTAGTTGGCCAGGACCAAAAATAATGATCTTTCTTATGTAGCAGTGAATTTGAGGATATGTAGCACAGTCTGTTAGTGTTTGAATAGTGACACATTTCACTGTGCACCAATATAGAATGCCTGAGCTGTGAAAGATAAGCTGCAATTACTACGTTGTTGTGGCTGATAGCAAGAAAAATAACAGTTCATTTTAATTTTTTGACAAGATCCCAAGCACTCAAAAATGTGTTTTTGGTTAACTCTGCTTGGATTATTATTATTATAGACTATTTGTATCAGATGCGTTACTGTAGGGCAGGGTTCACATTAGTACATTGAAAACACGTACTTTCTCAGTGCATTCAAAAGAAGTAATACATGGGGCATTAAATAGCAGCTTGGTTTTGTATGTCACGAATGAGCTTGAAGCTATCATGGTCCAATAAACGGGAAGTGATGTGAACCTGCACTGCCAATGTAAAACCAGCATCAGTTGGCTCTCGTTAAGGGAAGCACGAGTGCCTGAGCAGAAAATGTGTTGCTCAACCCCCCTTCGCCTCAGCCCTCACGTCCCATGGCAGTGCCACCTGACTCGAACGTGAGGCTAGGCTCGTCAGGGCTTGGACCCTGGCCTCCCACCGTCGCTTAGCACTGTTCTAGCTTAGCATGCAAAAGTCTCACCACAGCACATGTCCGTTCGGCCTCTCCGAAGACTCAAATCTGAGTGAGTTCTGTGTATTTGTGTGTGGTGCTGTTAGCCTAAGCTATTTTTACTTCATGTTTGCTGGAAGCTAGCATTAGCCTGGTGAGGAGGCCTGAGCATTACACACAACACAGGTTCATTCTTTAGAGGATAAAGACTCAAATCCGGGTGGATAAACTTGTTATTGATGTGTGAAGCTGTTAGCTTAAGCCACTTTTTGATTATATCCTTGCAGGGTAGTGGGGGAAGGGGCGAGGTTTAAAAACAGGGCAGCAAGGGGATGTTTACAATTTGCATAATCAAAATCAGAATCAGGCTTTATTGGTCCAGACATAAAAGGAATTTGGTTTTGATTACAGCAGCTCAGTGCATAACTGTGCAGATTCATAGCTCTTTGCATTCTTAATGAGTGCTGAGGTTTAGGGATGCTTTTATGCCATTTTTAATAGTTTCTCGGGCATAAAAATAGCATTAAAAATATATAACACTGTTATTCACTGTAGTTGCTTTTTTTAGTTTTAATCTATGACTTTAGGGGTACTTTAAAACAATGCTATAGTCACGCCATAGTCAGTAGATAAAGTGCAGTGGGTATAATATGTAAAATGGATCATTGTTTGATTTTACATAGCTCTGATGTAGCTAAATTAGACATGACAACGCTTGTAAACTTTTACACTACTTATGTGCAAATATTTTGTTATTTTGCAGACGCTATCCAGAGCCTCTTACAAAGGTGAAAGGTACTACATTGTGATTACAGGACAGAGAACTGAACCTCTAATCTTCCATGTGTAGAGTAGTAATGTTATCCATAATGCTATCCACTTGAGTGAAAATAATGGAAATGCCCACCACTAATGACTACGTGTGCAAGTGCATGCAAGCTAAGAGCAGAGTGCAAAGTTATCGATTGTAATTTCGGTACTGCACTGATAAAAATGTGTTTTTCCATTTATCCTTGAATAATGTCTCGGCCACCAGTCAGTATATTTGTTGTCTTTTAAATAAAACAATAATTTTCAGGTTGCCAAATGTCAGTTGTAATTCAAGGGAATTTATATCTGTATTGGTTGAATCGTGTTGAAATTACATCCTCTTTCATACATACTCCTCCCATTGTGTGGGACCAGAAATAATTAGACACTCGACTTTTGAGTTGATCCTTAGGCAGCTGGGTGTCTTAGCACAACAAGAGCACTAACAAAAAGTCTAAAGTTGCATCTGGAGTCTGTTAATGTTGTGTCTCAACATGAGGACCAAAGAAGTATCAGTGCCAGTAAAGCAGGCATGATGAGGCTTGAAAAAACATTAGAATATATCAATCATCAGCGTAGTTAAACATTATGGGGCAAAAACTGTTGTACATTATTAAGAAGCAAGAATTCATTGGTTGCTTAGCAAATAACCTGGCAGAACACAGAAGAGCAGAGAGTACATTCAGTCAGGAAGAAAAATTGTTGAACAAATCAAGAACAGGGTTTATTGCAAGATACAAACCACTCAAAATAGAAAGGTCATGCTGTAGGATGATGAAGCTAATGGAATTCTGGGACAGTAGTGTGAAGCAATGAAATGAACCTGTACCAAAGTGATAAAATGAGGATGGTGTGGAGAAAGAAGGGAACTTCTCATGATCCAAAAGACCATCTCTGTAAAACATTATGGCATGGGCATGAATGGCTGCCAAATGCCTCAAAACTCAGGGGACAGCATCAGAACACTACTGATACCCAGCATCTAGTCATGTTGAGTTCACACAGTCATTGATTACAAGGTCTTGCAAGCAGGACATCTATCGAACGTGAAAAAGAACCACCTACTTTGACAGGAAGGCGATGTTTGATACACATGCAAACAGACTGATCACAGATTATTGTTTTTGTGCAGAAGCAGATGATTGTCAGAGCAGCACTTTGACACATGGGAAACAATATAATGTCGATAACGTCTCACCGGTCACTGCGAAATGAGAATAAACTGTCTAGTCCTGACCAGCTTGACTCCAGAGTTAGCAGTACTTGGCACCGTGCCAGCAGTGGGTAACCCCAATAGATAAGGATCTTCTGTAAATCCACATACACATGCACGTGATTCCAGACACTTCCTAAGTAATACCTACACAGTGAAACAGGAGAGAAACGCTCAGTAGGAGACTCAGTAGAAGAATCTTCTCACACACAGAAAGGACACATGGCAATCTCACTGATCTCACCAAACCAAATGAAAAACACTTGCACTGTTTTTATTTGATTCTGCCAGCAAGCCGCAAGCATTTCTTGAAGTTAGCTGTTTTTTCTTCCTTTCTACATCCAGAAGCCAGAGAAATTGGCTGTTTCCTCCAGTCTTTCTCTCCCCTGAAGTGACGGGTCTTTTAAGCCGTGAAGTGGTTTGCTCTGAAAACTCCTACAAAACTTCCTAGAACAGCCGTCATCTGTGGCAATTTAGTCACGTAATTCTTTCATGTAAAGCAGAAACCGACCTAATCCAACTTCATTTTGATTCTGCTTTATATATATATATTTTACCTCATTTAAAGGTATTTATGGTGATTAAGACCTTCCCTCATGCCTAGTTTAGAGAAATGCTATGATGCAGTGGTATTAATCACATAACCTCTTTAATATATAACCAAGGAGGGGCACAAGCCCTAAAAAGCAGTTCTTAAACCTGTAAGCAGTGATGAGGCTTAACTCTGTCCACACTGATATTTCTAAACACTAACCAGAAGGCAGAAGCATGTCTACTTCTCATGTTTTTTGAGTCTTTGGTCGAGTAGCGGTTTTAGTGGAATTAGTGAAAAAAGAAAATGCTATAATGTGGTTCATGTTTGTTACGTGTTTTTTGCGAATGATGACATGAGAAACAACAGTTATGTTCTGCTGTCTGTAAACTTAGACTACAGCAGGAGACCTTGAGCTTCAAGAAATAATGCAGCTTTCATTGTTTGAATTCTTTTGGGAATGAATTTCATTGATTCTGATCTTTTGATTCTCTTAAACCATCCTGCCTATTTGGGGAGGCCTATTTGGAGCTCTAGGTGAAATTCTCCCTGCTACCACCCCAACCCAACACCATCCTTGTAGCCTACTCATACCATCAGAATCCAAGCAATAACAAATGTTGCTGTTATACTATTTAATTTGATCCAGTTTGACCTTTGTTGAAGTTATTGTTATAAGTTATTGTTATTATTATAGACACTTTTTTTTTTCTTTTTTTAATTTTGATTTGCTTGCAAAGTATTCTTTATGGGGGACTACAACGTATAATTTATATAGTACACAATGTGCCAATTTCATGAATGCCTATATAGCACGCAATGTGCCAATTTCACAAGTGCCTGTATAGAACACAGTGTGCACGATTTCACCAGCGCCTACATAGAACACAAAGTGCACGATTTCACCAGTGCCTATATAGAACACAATGTGCACGATTTCACAAGCACCTATATAGAACACAATGTGCGCAATTTCATCAGCATCTGTATAGAACACAATGTGCACGATTTCACAAGCTCCTATATAGAACACAATGTGCACGATTTCATCAGCATCTGTATAGAACACAATGTGCACAATTTCAAAAGCACCTATATAGAACAAATTGTGCACATTGTGTTCTATACAGACGCTGATGAAATCATGCACATTGTGTTCTTGTGAAATCGTGCATTGTTCTATACAGGCGCTGGTGAAATCGTGCACAATCCAAGGGTTATTTTCCTCTCCTCTAAAGTCTTAGAAGTTGGTTGTATTTTCTGCTTGTCATGATTCCAGTTATACCAGAAACATTCAGTGATGTTGTCTGGACTCTGGGGTTGTCAGTCCATTTTTGTGAGAACAACAGCAGCTGTTTTGTTTGATTGGCAGAATTTCTTTGGGTTATTTCCTTTTCTCATTACAAGCTTCTTGACAGCTACACATCCTTTCAGTCTCATAGCACTGAGTTGTCTTCACACAGTGAAAGAATGGACAGAAACACCTGTGGATTTTTTCCTGAAGCAAGAGTGGAGCTTATTGGGGACAGTTTTGCACGGTTGTGTTTGTGCACTTATATCTCAGAAATATCTGCTGAAAATGCACTGTTCTGCACATAAAACGCAATGTACAAGATTCCACGAGTGCTTACATGGGGCCTATACGATGTGCTGGTGCCCTGCTGCCCTCGGTTGTAGCTTATGTTGTGTGTCGCATGATCTGCTACTGTACGTAGAGAGTACAACAGAACTTCTAAAGGCTAGAACTTGCAGGGTGGTACAGTCGTTTTCTGAAGGAAGCTGACGCATACACGTTATCTGTAATCCGCGTGAAATTGTGGAGCATGCACGTGTCCCTAATGGGAGTTGTGAGGGGATGCAAGATGTTTTCCACGCTGTGTGTTTGGATAGAGGGATTACGTTCATTACAGTGTGGAAAGAACAGCTGGATTGACCCCCAACTCGCCCTCCCTCCCCAACGTTTATCTCTGTCTGTCTGTCTTAGTCTGTGTGTCTCTGTTTCCCTTCAACTCCTCATATTCTATAAGTTTTAGCAGCTTTATAAAGATGATCGACTGGGTGTGATTTAAAATGGTTCTCTTTGCTTGTGCATTTGTGTGTGTGTACGTTAGCTGCACCTTGGCACCGGGCTGTTGCTCTGAGGGTTCTAAGTGTGAGTGATTTATTGCATGGCTTGGCTGATGTTTCTGAACTGGTGCTTTTTGACTTTTGTTGGCAGTGCTGTTTCAAGTGGTTTTGGTTTTGTGTGTAAGTGTTGGGGTTAGGGATTCTCAGTAGGGAGCATCTGGTACTGAAAGCGTTTTTGTCTTGCTATTGCTGTTGTAATAATGATACAGATTCAGCTCCACTCTCTACCGATCCTTCTGTCATCCATATCTTAACAATAGAAGAACCATAAAGACATGCAAACTGACAGTGGGCAATATAATAATGTTCATTATTGTATGGTTATCATTATTGTGATACAATTTTTCACCAAAGACAAATGTAGACCAATTATAAAGAACCTGCAAACAACCACCAGTGTATAGTAACTGCATTAACTGTCAAGGAACAAGTAGGCTATGTATGCCAATGTGTTTACATGCCTCTGCTTGTGTCATCCCAGTATTACTTGTGGTTATCATTCAGCATCTGGTTTATGCTAATCAGTACTTTATATTAAAGTGTGCTACTAATGAAATCAGTTATAAATCAGTTGGCTAGGGGCCTCATGGAGGAATCTGGAACCAAGCTTTTTTCTTCAAACTAACTTTGAAAAAAAAAATCTTGTTACTTTTTGCTGCAGTAGTGTTTATTTGCATCTGTTATATTAGCACATGGCGATTTTGCAAGCATAAATATACTTAATGTCAAGATCAGTGATGTGCTTAGGTGCATAAGACTTTACTGTCTGTAAATGTGTCGTTTTTTGTGACATCATGAATTCAAAATCAGATGTTTTTGCTGTTTTGTTTCCGTATCTGGACTGTATAGCCTAGGAAGTGAACACCTTGAATATTTAACAGTGTTTACATATTACATCAATCTCATTATTTCAGAAAAGAGAGAAATCTGTTTTCCACGATATTAATTTTTTTTAGATAGCATTTTCTGAATGTGTCTGCTGTTTTGCTGGTGCATTCTGTCCATGTTTCCAATCTCAGAAAAACAAAACATTGTGATACACATTGTGTATCATGAAAATGTTTTAAAGAACCTCCTCTCATCTACAGTGTCTGGTCAGTGGCTGTATGCTTGGTGAGTGTTATATAATCCAGATGTTGTAATAGGTACCAGACCTCCCTGTCTCCCTCTCCCTGAGGCCATGCTCTTGCACCACCAGAATAATTCTCAATAGGCTCTCACAGTACAGCAGGTGTGTTAGCCATCAGTGCTAACACTCTCAGACACTGAAGTAAACATATATACACAAAGACACAAAGGCAGAGATTCACCCCAAGACAAACACAAACATGCTTACGTGCTGAAGCAATGAACAGATAAACAGTGGATGTGCTTTATATTACACCAGACAAACACACCGACAAATGTATGTTCCTCATTTCTCTATGGAAACGTTACACTTGTTGACCTGTTCTGATTTTGTGTAAAAAGCTAGCTTAAGCTATCTGTCAGTACACTATAGACTTGTCTAACATGGCCTTTCTTTATTTTTCTGTTCTGTGATTGGTTGTAGGTTTGTGACCTGTCATTCAGTCTGAAGAAGATGTTGATCAGACACAAGCTCACCCACAACCCCAACCGGCCAATGGCAGAGTGCTCACTCTGCCACAAGAAGTTCACCCGCAATGACTACCTCAAAGTGCACATGGAAAACGTCCATGGAGAGACAGAAGGGTAGAGCGCTGTTTACCTGTACCGTGTGTTCCCTGTTTGTTAGGTACACTTACCTTGTATCTACACCAGCAGAGGGGAACTGAGGGCCGGAGTCCAGCATAGTCACCTAATTTCCATGCTAAGACACCAGCTAAACTTGCCAATTAAATCAGATGTTATTGAGCAGGACAATCGCCAAACTGCAGGAATCCTGCACTCCACTCCTGATCTACACACATTGGCCATTTTATCAGAAACACACAGAAAACATGCATTTTGTAGATACACAATTTCAGACTGTAGCCCATCAGTTGTTGCACAATTTATCAGACACTCTCTTCACTATCCATTAGTCGAAAGGGACCACCATCTGACCAGAAAACAGTGGCCCTGTTGTCAACAATGGACAACTGATGAAGGGCTAGAGGATCATTAACACAAGATCTGTGTGGAAAAAAATGAGCTGTAGTCTATAACTGTACATCTGCAAGGTGGACCGATAAGGTAGGTGTGTCTAAGACTGGAAAGTAAGTGGAGTAAGTGTTTAAAACCCCCAGCAACACTTCTGTGCCTGATGCACTCATACCAGAACTACTCACTTGCAATCCACTATCATGTCTGTATTGGTCCAGGATCCAAATAATATCTGCTCAGTGGTGGTCCTGTGGCATTCCCTTTTCATTAATGGATGTGGTAGAGGGGGGTGATAAATTGTTCAGCAGAAGATGGGATACAGTCTGTAATTACAAATCTGCACCTGCACCTATATACTCATACTGGCTACTTTATTAGGTACTAATGTCTACACTTGTATCTACACTCATTACCCATTTTATCAGAGTCAGTTACAAGTGCCACTGACTGTAGTCAGTCTGTTTTTCTGCATGCTTTCTTAGCCCCGTTTTACCTTTAGTGGTCAGGGGTATTATTCATGTGTTGGATCATTCTCAGCACTGCAGTGACACTGATAGTGAACCTTAAAATAAAAATGGACAGCAAGTGCAGATACAAGGTAGGTGTGCTTAGTAAAGTGGTAACTCACTGTATGCAATCATATTCAAAAGTTTGGACGCCCCTGGTCAGATTACATGCTTTGTTGTGTTTCTAAGTGACAATAACACATTCTTTACAGATAAACTTTTTAATCCAAAATTATTTGCTGAATTTAACATATTAGGGAAAGAAGTAAAACATACAGCGTGATCTGTGCAAATGTAATGACACATTTATTGTTTTGTGTTTTATTTGTCTTCCAGTTTGTTTAACTCGGCAAATTAATAGAAACAGGACACAAAAAATGGCATATTTAAGTCTGTTTCCTGTACTGTAGTAATTACCAAAACACGTAATTTGACCAGGTGTGTTCAAACCTTTGCATACTTTGCATCCAACTATACATACAACCACACATACACAATCAGGAATAGGTGAACAAATTGAGAATACATACATTCCATGTTAAACCACAGACATTCACCCAAAGTCACCCTCTCAGTCTGACTGACACACACACTAACACATACTGCAGTATTCAGCAATGCTGCAGTACTGCAGTAATTCAATACTGAATGCTGCTTTTCTCAGTGCAATCCTAGCCTCATTATCTATCTATCTATCTCAACTATGCATGACTCTGCTGAATAGCCAGTATATAGAGGGAGCCATATCAAAGCACACAGCCTGCATTTACTGTATGCAAAGAACATAATTGATATCACAGTTAAACTGCACAAGCAAGTCTCCAAACAGAAACATACACACACGGACACGGATAGTTCTGCGGCAGAGGCGGCTTCCGTTTCCATTAAACAGAGTGATGTTTCTCCTATTGGATGTATATTGAGTAGTGCAGATGGGAGCGATGCAATAATAAAAATATAATGTTTTATAAAATTCACACTTTTCAGCAGGAATAAAAATGTTAAAATTATTACAAATATATTACATGTATGTTAAGTGTAGTCAACATACTTTTGCCAGTGTTTTTGTTATACTTATTGCCATCAGGAGTTACATTTGCTATTATTTGTGGGACCAAAGAAAGAGCTCAATGTTGATTGACTTCCCGTTGTTCGTCATTTACTGTTACCATCGTTTTTTGGAATATTGAAGTTGAAATCAAAGTTTGTAATTCTGTTGACTCTTTTACACATATCTATATCTTTCTATAATTATGCTTTGTAAGTTCACTGCTTCAGTTTATTCAATCTGTATTGAACTCTGTAAGTAATATATTTACTGTAACGACTGTTACTGTTTTGGCATAGCAAGTCTGTGAATGTATGAAAGTGCTGGAATGGAAAGGAAGATTGAATGAAAAAGAAAGAAAGCGTTTATGTGAGTGAGATAATGTGTATCTAGTACTTCTTCAGACTGAGTTGTTTCACTGAAGTGTCCTCATCAGCACTTTATGAAAATCCCTGATTCCCAGGCAGCTGTTTGCTTTTGCTAATTATAAACCTTTGAGCCTGGGTAAACTGTTGATGGCAGGCTAATCATATGTACTTTGAGCGTTGATTACAAGTGTTCTTTCTACAGTCATTAACTAAAGCCCGGCTCCAAGCATGGTAACTGCGGGTTAGAGCCTGATTAAAGCTTTAGCTTGGCTTGAGCCGCCACTGACTTGTCAAAGACAACACCTAGTAGTCCTGTTGCACTACATATAGGCACAGTGCACACACCTTAAAATTTCACACACTTTATCAATCCTGTGATCTGCACTTCATGCACATTCAGCGTTTAAAGGATGCAATGAGTCGATCAGCAAAACTGGGCCTTAAATTTTAGTACTTGAGCAGATGTATCAGGTTTAAATCCATACTTTTCTTGAACATTGATTTCTATTTGTGTCCTGTTATTCAAAGTCCATAAAGAGTAAATGGTAATAATGAATTTGCTAATAAAATGACAGTGTTTACATTTTACTCTCCAAATTGTGCACGTTTAAACTGTGAGACGTGTTGTGCTCTCTTGGATACCTGGCCACGGATGGCTGTGGCATCGCTGTTTAGCGTTATCGTGACTTTGCCCAAAAGTAGGATTACTTAGTCATGTTTAAAATTGTAATATATTTTAATGTGTTACATTTTGTATGAGTTTATTTTTATTCAGAATTTTAAAAAGGGCTGCTCAGCTTGTGTTGTTGAATGGCTGAAGTGATTATTTTTCAGTTTATGCCAGGAACTAGGGCAGAGGTCAGCAACCCAAATGTTAAGAAGAGCCATTTTGTCATTTAGATTTAAAAATCAAACCACCTTGGGAGCCACAACATTTTTATGTCCATTTTACCATCTTGGCTGTAAATATGTCTCAGTATGTGCTGATGTCCTAGTATAGGCTAAAAATATAATATTAACGAAAACGCAGACTTTTCTCGCATCTCCGTCAGGAAACTTCTCCTCAGAAGTGGATACGTTTCTTGTAAAATGTATCTTAATGTTCGACTTTCTTCGAGGCTGATGTCAGCTTTTCACTCCCCAGCATCATGATGGAATTTTTCTGTTCCACCTTAAATGGTGCCTGAGACGCCAAAATGTAACTTCTGCACCGTTTAGGGTAGAATGGGAAAATTTGAACGAGAAGCTGACTTCAGCTTCGCGACTTTTTAGTGTTTGACAGTTTCTCGTTGCAGATTAAACGTATCAGGAAACCATCTGAAGAGCTTATAAATGCAAATACGCTCATTCGTCTCTAAATAATCGATGCTCGTCTTAAATCTTTTTCTTTGCCTTTTCGTTGCTACTAGCTAGGTGAGACTGTTGTCTGTGTTTCAATGACCAGCAGTCTGCGCGCCAATCTTCAGGGTTAAAGGGTGAATTCGCAGTTATTGGTTACATTACCTTTAGCGTTTAAGACCATTTGTTGTTAAAACTGTATTAGAACGATCAGCAGAGCTTTATTTTACTGTAAAGGAGGATTATTTTATTTTTTCCTAAAAATCTAATTCTGCTGTGGAGCCGCAACAGGGCAGTAAAAGAGCTGCGTGCGGCTCTGGAACCGAATGTTGCTGAACCCTGAACTAGAGTACTGTGGATATTGTCATTGAATAGAGAGCATAATCAGTCTTGTTTAATTGAATTTGGTGCAGTGCAGTATGTAAAACGTTGAAGAAATATCCTACTCAGAGGTTTTAATAGCATTTTGAAATGCTACTGGTGCATTGTGTCTATCTGAACTTTGAAAAAGAAATACTGTGATATATATTGTGTACAGTTTATTTCTCGTAAGTATAGTGGTATATTTTTGTCCTATTGCCCACTCCTAACCTACTGTATAGATTCATTTTCTCTTTTCCTATTTTATGCTTGACTTTTGGATTAATGAGACCTCTACGCTGCTCTTGGCTTTCTTATTCATTATTTTTTTTTGTGAGTTTTCATATGGTTTTCCTCTCTCTATATGTCTGTTTTCTCTCCATTCCTTTTTCTCCTCAGTTGATCTCTTTGTCTCAAGACAAACCTTTATGTCAGGTAACTGCTAGTGTTAATTCTCTGTTCCGTGTTGGTGTGGGTGGTCAAGCTATGTGATCAAGTTCCAAGATCCAGCTGCTGCTCAACACATTACTGCGTTACTTTGCTCGTTCATCTTCTTCAGTCTTCATTGGAAGCCATTCTTTAGCCTCAGCATGAGTTCTCAAGTTCTCCTGTAAAACGGTCTCTTTCGCAACTCCCAGGAGTTGCTGGCTTTTCTCAAGAGCCTCCTTTCCCCCGCTTCAGAATATGGGAAACCCAAGCTGGGCTGAGCAGACACTCTTCAACCAGATGTGCACTGTGTTCCCATGCAGCTGTATTAATAGTTGCCACTTCTAGCAGTGTAAACAGGCCGGTGAGTGATGGCTCCACACCCCAGCTACTCTACAGTCCCTTACTGTCTGTCCGCAAATCACACAGAAATGCTTCATCCAAGCCCAACTGCATCTGTATCAGAACAAACATCGCTCTGATCTATATATGTACCTGTGTGTACATGTGCATATGTTCGCTTGAGAAGAACTTTTCCAGTTGGCTTTCCCACAGCTAGAGCATTCACAGTCTGTATGTGTTTATGTGCAGAACATCTGTCTGATCTATATACGTTCCTATGTGTGCGTGAGCCACTTCCCTAAGTGTGTCTGCATTCCCGCGGGAAAAGGGTCACCACGGCAACCCCCCCACGCCTCAGACATCAGGCGCGGCCCCGACAACAGTGCCCGTGCCGTCCCACGCTGGCAGCTGTGCCCACTAACCGCAACACACGTATGGTGGTGAGGCTGCAGATTGGAAAAAAGAGGTCTGTGGTCGTGTTTTTTTTATATGCTCTAACAGTTAATGGCACACGAGTGGTCCAGTGGCACTGGAATACACTCAGTACACTAACACTCTCACGTCTGAGGAGTCTTCAGTGCTCAAGGGTTCGAATTGGTATTTCAGATGTGTGAGGGTTTTTCCTGATGCGTGCGTGGTTGAGTAGAGGCATGTGTATGTCATTGCTTTTGAGTGCTTTGCTGTGATTTTATGAAGTGTCTACTGTACATGTAGCTGAGGGAAGTGATTTTAAAGTGGCTGTTTAAGAGAACTCAATTAGCCATAATCAGTAGCACTGGAATAGCCCCTTTTTTGGGTAGAGCTTTAACCCCTTTTCACAGTAGCTATAATGGGCACTTTCTGCCTGTTTTGGAGGAGGTCTCTCAGTTGAACCTCAGTTGAGCAATGGTTTTATTCTTCAGTAACATCTATGGGATGTATTTTTAAGGAAATGTATATGATTTACAAAAAATGGAAGCAAATTGCGTTTTTGTTTTAGTAGGATGAACAAATAAGTCAACGTGTAAGGGGAAAAAATGGCAATTTTTATTGTAGCAGTTGGGTCTGACTCAGGAACAGTGTTCTTTGGCTATTATCAGGTTCGGCCAAAATTTTAGGCCCAATTAAACCAGAATTCCACTAAAATAGCGCTGGTAAAATAGCACTAAACCTGAAAAAACAAGCTTTCTTTTGGGACTATTGGGACTATTTGGGACTTAAAACACTCCATGTACACTGCATGTACCTCCTCTCCATGAATGGATTTAAAAAATATATTTTAAGCCAGAAATCTCAAAACTCATAAAACAATGTCTTAGACATCAGGCAGCATATTCATAACCATTTCATGTAATAACTTTCCATCCTAACCATTTAATAATGCAGCAATTTAGAAAAATTAGTGCATTCTTTTTTAATTGGGCCAAACCTGATAATAGCCCAAGAACATTTTGCCTGAGTTAGACCCAACCTAACATGTGGCACCAAGGTTCAAATCTGAACCCAACCTAAGCACAACAAATTTGTGTCCGAACCCAGTAACCCAATAACAACCAAACAGAGGCTGAATAAAACAAATAAAGCTCCACATTTCTAGTGATTCTGCAAGGTAAATTACCTTAGCAACAATCTTTGATAAACATAGAAAAACGATCTGCTATCCAAAATTAAATTCCACTTTAGCTAATTTATTCATCAATGCCTTTGAACGATATTCCAAAAGTTTGTAGTCTGAAAAAAGTTTACATAAGACGTTATCATGCCTCTCTACAACAACATGAGTGAGTCCAGATTAACCATATCAGATTAAAAACTGTTAAAAGTAGAGGAAGCTAAAGCAAAGGTAACTGCAAATCATAAAGTAGTATCTGTAGGAGGATCCAGAATGTTAAATTTGAACCTGACCCAAGCCCAGAAGTATCTGAGAAGTGATGTCCAAACCTGACATGAAAACCCGACATCAGGTCCCATTGGGTTTGCGCTTTAATCTACAAATGAGCTGACATAGGTCTTTCCTTAATGGAGCTCTAGCATTTGTCAAAGCCTAAATGAATTGCTTTTACTGGAGGCCAGACAGCTACAGTTGATATATTTCTGAAATTCCTTCTGAAGTTCAGTTTTTCAGAATCTGTGTTTCCAGAATGTACCATACTTTATTTCTCCAGTTCCTGCCAATATCTGAGCTGCTGGTTAGAGCGGAATGTCTTGGGGCTGAAGTTGATGTGTTGCTAAACTGGAGGAAGGACAAGTGAATCAGTTTTGGAAACTATTGTCTGTACCAGCCACTTACAACAGAACTGATTCCACTCAGTTCCACAGAGAAATCAACAAGTCTTGGCAGACCTCAGGATGGCTGACTGCAAGTTAGTTTTCAATAAAATTTCAATTAAATTCAGTTTAGTTTCCATTCTGCAGTAAAAACGAAACATTATACTGATTGTGTATGCTGGGTTGTCAGTTTACAGGTCCACTTACACCTATTGGACCTTATATCATGTACACCTTTCTGATAGGTATCTATGGAAAGGGGCAGTAATAAGCTGACCTGATTATTTGAGTGGAGGGCAATTCTCTGAAACTGACCACTAATGAGGGTTTTACACAAGTTGTACCAAGAACTGTGTGTAAGAGCTAACACAAATAAGTATGTATAATAAAGTGGCTGGTAAGTGTAGTGAATATTACAATGTACTACATACTGCAACAGGTGCATTAGCAAAGGACAGCAACTTACAACTTTAAATAACAGATAAAAGTGTAGTGAGTACAGGATCAGAAAAACAGTCTAAACATTTATATTTGTCAAAGGAAGACATCATGGACTATATTGTATCTTGCATCTATACAGTCAAGTCAATCATAGCCTATATTTAGGTACTTTTCATTAAAATGCTGAAATAATTGCAAATATCGCACACCTAGGTAGTTTGTAATGTAGAATTGCTACAAATCAGTATAGCGTAGCACATGCTGACCTGTTTATCACTAGAAGGAATGACAGCCCTACGGGAATGATAATTCACTACAATTAATAAAATATATTAATGAAAAAACAATATTGACCTAGCAACCAGTCGTACTTCAACTCTGCATTCTAATTTTTGGAAGATATTTCTCTGTCCCTTCATGATCTTAATGTTAGGCTAGTTAAAAGATGTGTTTGTT